TGCGTTTTAGATCCAAGGGCATTTCCTGTTACTCTCGTGTGGTGCTGGTCTCTGTAACCTGGTGATAGTGACTTATATGGTAAAGCTGCAACACTGATGGTTTTATGAGTGGAATATCTGAAGGGCTCTATGGGGAGGGCACCAGGAATTTTGTATGTGACCTTGTATCTAAGCGGTTAAAGTCTCCCAGCCATTTTTACAGCAGTTTTCAGATTAGTTTACCTCTCTTTATCTTACTTTTTGCCATGAAAATATTCCTGGATGTCCCTAGTGTCCTTGCCTGAGGAGACAGTTGGGCTGATGTCCTGTCCAGATTTTCCTGACAGTAAGTGCCTTCCTTGGGAGAATGCTGCTGGTGTCTCCATGGGTCTGCAAGGCTGCAGCTGTGCTAGGAGCTCTTCAATGCAGGGACTAGATAGAGTGTAATCTTTGTACCCACACAACCCTAAGCAATGTATGTAGCTAGCACCACTAACCACACCAGAAAGGGCTGCGACCCAGGATCTCCACCCCCTGTACCAGCTGTAGAGATGGCCAGCTCTGGAAGGCGGTGTGTATGCAGCACCCACTCCAGGAACAAAGCAGCAGCTACATTCTCCTTGCTTGCTGTGGGGTTCAGAGAAGCATTGAGTAATTCCTGGTGGAGCTTCTTTTACTTGGCTGTGCTCCCAATGCAGACCTGCACAAATTGGTGTATGTGAGCCCTTTATCTGGAGAAAGCAAGATAGTGTACCTACCTCCCCCTCCCCTGCAAGGAGAGTGTGGGTCTTTGTCCCCTTCTAGTGGCTGGTCTCCATAAGAGAACTGTTGTCCTAAGACCCACTCTGAAAAGCTATTTTGACACATATCTCCCATTGATTCCAATACAAATTAGGCATCTAAATATAGTCAAGGATCTTTGCCTAAGTGCCCAGCTCTGCATAGAACAAGAAGGGTTTTTTATTGGCCTGTATCATTGGGAAAGGCCAGTTGACAATAATATTCTCCAGTATGGTCAACTTTAACACTACTGATGGTTTGAGTGTAATCAGTAAATACATCTACACTGCAAAAAAACCCCAAACCCAAACAAAAAAGCCACAACAGAAAGTCTCAGATCCCAAGTTAACTAACTTGGGCTCACAGGTCTAAAAATGGTTTCAGAGTAACAGCCATGTTAGTCTGTATTCACAAAAAGAAAAGGAGTACTTGTGGCACCTTAGAGACTAACCAATTTATTTGAGCATGAGCTTTCATGAGCTACCGATGAAGTGAGCTGTAGCTCACGAAAGCTTATGCTCAAATAAATTGGTTAGTCTCTAAGGTGCCACAAGTACTCCTTTTCTTTTTAGGTCTAAAAATAACAGCATAGATTTGCCACTGGGGCTGGAGCCCAGGCTTTGAAACCTGGTGAGGATGTCAGAGAAGTAATGAACTTAAAATATTTATATACAATCAATGCAACAATTCTTTATCTTTGTGTAATTTCTTACCCTGAAGCAAGAAAACAAGTAACAGACAGAGAAGTCTGTGAGATCATCTTGCTTGTCTGTGATTGGAAATGTTCGTTGGCATAAGGTGGTTACAGTGATGGATGTTGGTTGGCATAAGGTGGTTACAGTGGTGGATTCGTTATTTAATGAGGAGACTTTATCAGTGGGTAGCAGAGCAGATTTCCATATATTTAAACACAAGCCCTTCTATAACAATTGAGTGATGTAGGGTAAGTCATGCTCCTGTTACATGACGATCAGGTGATTACATGTATTACATGTATTTTACAGAGACTGCTCATGTGAGTGAGGACTTAGCTGTGGGTTTAAGAGGCTCCCAGATAGGTATGTTTTTTAAAGATGGTGATCAGGGAAGCCCACTCACTCAATTATTCTTCTTCCTCTTTCATCAGACCATACCAGTAAAGAAACCTTCCGAAACCAACTGGCCTCTTTGGCCTGAAATCGCCACCTCTGCAAAGGGGTATTGAAATACTGCCATCTACTGGCCAATGTTATCTACAGAATTTAGTCCATGAATGGCATGCCCAAGCAGATGTCCTAGCACTCCCCAGGGAGTGTGGGACGACACGGCCTGATGCTGCTTTGCCTTCTCGTATATGTCTCTTTTAGCCCCCCAGTCACGTTTCAAGCTGTGGTTGATGTTGTGGGGCCAGTTTCTCATCAAACACCAGAAGACGCATGTTGTGTATAGATCGCACCTGGGGCCCTTATTAAGGAAGAATGGCCTTATTAGGAAGGTACTGGACTGGTGATTGAGATCTGGGTTGAGTGTCTGGCTGGGCCTTAGTCTCCCTGTGTGACATGCAACAAGTTACTTATTCTCTCTCTCTCTTTCAGATCCCCATCTTGTTATATGGGGAACAAAGGCCACTTGAACAGTTTGATGCTTTAAGAGTAACATCATACCGTCCCCCCCACTGTACTCCTGCATTGGGTCCCCCCCCACCCCCCACAGCGCAACTTCAGCATACCGTGTAGTTGAGGAAGCAGCGCCCTGAGGAACCTGTCAGGCATTGCTGCTCACCTTGGTAATGCAGCTTTGGAATCTGTCCAGGGCTCAGACACAGCAGCAGTCTCACTAACAGCCCCATAAACCAAGAAGGCAATTACAACTGAATGGCCAGATTTACCCACACACGTTGCCTGCTCTGGCGACACAAACTGGCTGGTTGCTCTGCGTGCTTCAGTGTACAAGTCAGTCTGCCCTCTGAAATCAAGACGGGCGAGCTTTTTAGATCATATGCTGTTGTTCAAGCTGAAGTTCTGGGCTTGATACAGAATTTATTGGGTGGGTTCTATAGCCATGCAGACGAGATGCTCATGATGGTCCCTTGTGGCCTTAAAAATCTACGAATCTAAATAAAATAAAAAGAAGAGGGAAGGCTATTACATCTCTGCATCTCATTAGTAATGTTGTATAATGGCATTCTCTTGGGGTTTGTTTTAGTGTCCATGTATGAAATTGTGAGTGTGTGTGTGCATTTGTGTATATGTCATGATGATGACAATGATATGTATGTACATAAGTAAACCGAAGGAAATTCTCAAACAAAAAACTACATTAAGATAGAGTTAAGGTTGTCAGTAGTTATCCAGAACTTCAGACATTACAAGGATGTTGCACTTAACCCAGACCCAAGCATTGCAAAACCAAGGACATTCAGAATTAAGGTTTACACTTTAAAGTGGTTTTTTTTTAAAGTAAGAAAAGTGCTGTTAAAACACCCAAAAAATCTTAACTCTGTGGTGTGGAGGGAAATACATGGAAAAACTCCATTTTGTCTTTAAAAATCTTTCTGATCAGATCCGGGATTCTCAAACACTGCATTGCTTTAACTACAATGATATGTTAATTGCACTGAATCATTACAGGACATTGTTACGATATTTTGGTGCCCTCACTGTGTGTTGACATACCGTAACGTGTTTCATTGTCTTTTAAATCTATCTTGGATTTTCCTAAGTTTATAGTACTTTTTTTTTTTTTGCTATAAATACAACTCCTCCGTAATGTATTTTACTCTAAATTACAAATATGTACTTGCAACCAGAACTCCATCTTAATGCTGTTTGTATCTGGGAATATTCTCCTCTACGATATAAATGTCTCTTTGTATATTTTTTCACAGCACAGAGTGTGTCCCCATAACAAAGTTACTTTTGGAATTGTGTGTAGTTTGTTTGTTTGTTTTTTGGAATGCATATTTTGGGCCAAAACTTCTAGAATCCTCAATTATGTAGAGTCAGGGTAAAACTAATCAATAAAAATATTAAAAAACTCCCTCCGCATTATAGACACATGCCCTGTTTTCAGAGAAACAGCCGTGTTAGTCTGTATTCGCAAAAAGAAAAGGAGTACTTGTGGCACCTTAGAGACTAACCAATTTATTTGAGCATGAGCTTTCGTGAGCCACAGCTCACTTCATCAGATGTGTACCGTGGAAACTGCAGCAGACTTTATATATACACACAGAGAATATGAAACAATACCTCCTCCCACCCCACTGTCCTGCTGGTAATAGCTTATCTAAAGTGATCAGCCAGTGTAGCAGGATCTAGCATCTATCAAGGACGCAAGCACCGTAGGCTTCTTGAAAGCCAGGCAGGACACTCAACGATGTTGTCCCAGGCATGCCAAGTGCACCCAGCCCACATGCTCTAGCTGCTTAACCACAAATCTGCTGCTTGCTGGTGAGAACGAACAGCATTTGGATCCCTCCCAAACAGGCCAAGAAGGGACCCCTGCTTTGGAGTGCAGGACACCAGTAGATTCCCCACCAGCAACCCACTGAAAATAGATATGGTGCAAAGTTTGGGAAAGGGATCAAGCAGGGAACTGTCTGCCATAAATCCGCCCATGAAAGGGTGTTTTGTGTCATTCCCAGAATGAGGCACTTCCTTCCACAGTGGTCCACACCTGATCTGCATAGTCTGTGACTGGGTGTGTGTATGTTAATGGTTTAATGTTCGTCAGGTGGTGTCAGTTTATATGTATGTGATCTGTGCTGCATGAATAAGTGAATATTACCTTTATTTCCCATGCTCTGCATCTTTTGTCTGAAACAATTTTAATTTCAAGCTAATTAAGTTTGCTCTCTGGATTAATGTATTAATTCCCAGACAAAAACTACATTAAGATTGTAGCAGTTCTTTGGGGAAGGGGCATCTTTTGGTTCTGTGTTTGTACAGCACCTAGCACAATGGGGTCCAAGTCCATGTCTGGGGCTTTGTGGGCACTACTGCAGGGCAAACAAAAACAAAAAAAGAAGAAGAAGATGGAGTTAAGGCTGAGAGTATTAGTAATTTAGGATAAAATCAGTGACCGGGATGTTGTCATGATCCAAACACCAAGGATTATAAACCCAGAAAATTAACAGTTAAGGTTAGACTTAAAAAAAGACATAACACATTTTGTGGGATTTCACTAATGATCCTCTGTTGTTCAGCTGATGCTATGACAAAACTTCCCTGCATAGCTAACCTCTTGGGATAGCAATACAATGCTAGAGTTTTAGGTTGTTAGTGGATGGGAGAAGTTATCATCTTATTTTTCTTTTGGCAGAACATTTGAAAACTAGATTCTTGTGCTACTTGTGTGTACGGGTGTCTACTAAACTTCATGCTTCATAGAGCAGGGAGGTTTTTGTATTGGTCTGTATCACTGTGAGAGGCCAGCTGTTATACTGCTGACAGTAATAATCTCCAGCATCATCCGCTTCAACCCTGCTGATGGTGAATGTGAAATCTGTGCCCGACCCACTGCCACTGAACCGGTCTGGGATCCCAGAGGGGCGGGTGGAAGCGCTGTAGATAAGGAGCTTAGGAGCTTGCCCTGATTTCTGTTGGTACCAGGCCATGTAGCTACTAACACTGGAACTGGCTTTGCAGTTGATGGTGACTCTGTCTCCTGGAGACACTGCCAGGGATTCTGGAGTCTGAGTCAGCACAATCTGCCCATTGGAACCTGGCGAGAGAGAATAAAAATTGGCAGGGCTGGGGTTGGGTAAACGGGACAATGACATTAACATTACTCAAAGCTCCACATTGAAAAACTTGTAAACTGAACAGTAGAAATAAACAAAAATATACCTGGAATCAGCATATAACTCTACAAACCATAGGCATTTTTTTTATGATTTGCCATATGTCTTATCAACACTTTTGAAACTTGTCTGTTTCTTACCCTGAAACCAGAAAAGCAGTAGCCAGAGAAGGGGAGTCTTTGAGATCATCTTGCTTCTGTGTGGTTGGAAATTCTCCTCAGTAAAGTATATAGTGGAAATGGAACCATTTATGTGTTCAGCAGCTCAGTGAGGAAACAGCAGCCTTGTGTGAATATGCAAAAAGAGCCCAATTATGTAAATGACCAGAGGTTAGTGCCAGGGAGAAGCTTTGAAATATCTGACTTGATGGTGCTTTGTGGTTTTTGGATGTAATAACTATAACATATTTGCATGATTCAGATGGTAAAGCAGCCAGAGTTAGCTTGACAAGCACAGGGGGTAACGGCTGTTTGATTAATGATGAGTGACCGAGTGAGCGGCAGGTTGAAACACCAGTTAGAAGAGCTAAAATCATTCAGTCATTTACTGTGTGGGGTTTAAATGCAATCAGCCTCGTCTCTTTTAATTAATCCATTTTCGTTATATTGATAGGGCCAGATTTTCAAAGAAGCAGTGGCACCGGCATCTGCATGGTTCTCTGCATCAGCACCAGTGGCCGCATGCATTCTGCAGGCCTGGAACGAAGGCTGCTCTCAAAGGCTTGAAGGGTGCACGCAGGCAGGATGAAAATGAGGTCTGGGAAGAGGAGTCCCAAGGTCCGAGCATGCTCAGATTTTGGGGGTATGCACAGCACAGATATGGGGAAAAGTGGTGTCAGTGTGCCAGGCTCCAGCGCTGCCCATTGTGTCTGTGCCACTGTCCCCTCTGCTTCCACGACATGGTGGGCACTAGAGTCTGAGGGGTACAGGGGGTTGTGTGAGTGGAGCAGTGGGGCCTCCAAACCTCCTAACCGCCACTGCGGTTACCCCATTCCCCAGCTGCTGGATCTTCTGGGTGGGTGTGGCCAGCCCGGTTGTCACTGGGAAGCTGACTAAACACCTTCTCCATTGGCTCCTGCTGACTTTTACTAGCCAGACCCAGTCTGAATGTGTTCACACCCCACGCTTTCTGGAAAAAGGGATCAGCACCCTTCTGTGTGGCCACTCTCACTTCCCTGCCCTTCAGACCGCACCCCTCCTCTGGTGTATCCGCCCAGTCCCTATGAAAATCCTGTGTGTGCTTATTACCTGCTTGTGCCTAAGGGTTCACATGTGTTTGGGGATTTGCTCCTATACAGACCTTTGTGAATTTGGCCCATAAGGTCTTAACATATTCTACAACAGAGCAAACAGGCACCTGATCTTAACACTGCTGTTAGGGGGCTTATTCCTTCACCCACTTACTTCCCTGGTCCTTCTCGCATGAACAGAGAGCAACAATACCCGAAGTCCAAAGGTGCAAACAATTCGATGTTTATTGGGGTGAACTTCCAGCAAGCATGATTCCAGTTTCCTTCCTTAGTATCCTCCTTCCCAGCTCTGACACCACAGAGCCTTACACGTGTGTCCCTGTTCCCATTCCTACCCTTAGCCAAACATGATTCCAACTTCCTTACTCCCATTCCCTGTTCCCATTTCCCCCTTTAGCAAAACATGATTCCAATTTTCTTACCCCCATTCCCTGTTCCCATCTCACACACCCACATGCCCACCCACACCCCCACCCCCGCCCCGTCACTTCCTCATTGACTACAGATTATATAGTAAAACTTGAGTTCTGCTTAGCTATACCTTAACCAATCATTTTCCTGAAATTTAACTAACCAATCCTAACATATTGTAACATGATTATGTAACCAATTATATCCCATCACCTCAATTAGTTTACACCCAGCAAAATTAATTATACAGCAGACAGGAACAATCACAGAACCAGACAGAGATTATACAGACAAACAACAACAAAGTGGGAACTATAATGACAAAACAATACAGAAGTGAGGATTTCACATCCCAGCTATTGATAAGTGAGTTCTTGCCAGACAGGATGCTATCAAACTAAGTTTCCTTTTACATTTTCTAGGCACTTCCCTTTCTCTGGAGGTGATAGGAATACAATCCTGTCCTGATAGTGCCTAACAGCCCAATAGCACCTTATTTCAATGTGACCAGTTTGGAATGTGAGGATGTGACCGGTCACTTCCCAGCTTATGGCTGCCTCTGCTGCTTAGCCAAAGGCCTGAGCCTAAGCACAGGGCCACAAACTGTCACAGTAAGAGAAGGCCCTTACACTGGCAGACAGTGGTTTTGATTCTTTCTTTCTTTTATACCTCTATCACTAGCCAAGTAATAAGAATACACCTAAATTCTTAGAGTATAGGCCTTTACAGACAGGCCTGAATATCTATATCCTAACACTCCACCCCTTTTTTTTTTTTTCTTTTTGGGATCCTCCTGCCCAGGTATCCCTGGAAAAGCATAGGACATATGGCGACACATTTCCTGATAGGGCCAGGCATCAAGGTGGAAGGTGTCGATATTCCATTTGTCCCACTGCCCCTTGTGTAGTATTGTGCCCTGCACCTTCTCTCATACGGGCATACCACACCTATTCCAATTAGTGTTCCAGACTTCCCATTAGAGTGGGCCTGAGAAGGTTGGGTCCGGGTTGTCTAGTACACTGCAGGGTTTGGAGGGCTTATTACATTCCTAATAGGTTATCTCCCTATGCAACGTAACACAAGTACAGTTAACAATACAAAATCCACAGCAACACCGAGTCCTGACCACTGCAGTATGGTCCAACATCCGAAACACCCCCAAAATACTGCCTCTCCTCCTTCGATGGGGTCACGATCTTGTGTCCAGTTGCTGGCAGTTGCAACAAGCTGCTCCTGCAAGTTTTGTATGCTTTTGTCCATATCACAAGTCCATTGAATGTTCACAGAGAAATGGGATATTGTCCAAACCAGCTTGACCACTTGGTATGGAATCAGGCAGTAAGCCCTGGCTTATTCACAGCAATAAGATTCACAGATCCATTTGTGCACCAAAGTCCATATAGCAGCATGTAGATGGGTGTAGTTTGGTTATGGGCTGGTGTAATTGTGCCCCCAGTAATATGTACATTCCCAGCAAAACACCTTATACACAGTACATCCAATTGTCCACCCCTTGCATAGGCCATTGATCCTGCTCCTCTATAGTCATAGGAGAGGGGCACATCCAAACATCTTCTATTGATTTACACTATTTTACACACCCCTCCATTAATTCCCAGTGAGCTCCTCCCCTTTTCATTATTTCCATAGGGCTTGTGGGGGCCACCTTAGTTGCCATTCCATTTCCAGGTACCACGGTAGCTATTACACAGGTGCTGGCCTCCTAGTTGAGAATTTGCATTCCCATACACATCTTCCCCCCAGGGCCAGCCTTTGGAAGCCATCCCCCACCCACATCATGAGGTTTTCTGTTCATTAAAACACAACAATGCTAGCAACAAGACAAACACCACAGACAAACAACACAAAACATAGATCCATGGTATTCTGGGTTATTTTTCCCGCTGGCGCCAGCTTGCTTGTAGAGTGTCTGAAAAACAAAAGAAACAATTTCCTTCCCCATGGTGGGGACAGATTATTGCTTAATAATAATACCACTTTCTTTTACAAATGTCCTTGCTACTTGCAGGAAAAACAGAAGAATTACCTCCAGACTGTCCTTATTTTGTTCTATAGTCAGGCTAGTGAATTACCTCATTCACTGGTCATTTATGAAATTCATGAGATGGTGTACCTCAGTTTCCCCTCTTGTACAACAGACCAAGTTTGCAATAGTTTCTCTGCTGTACCAAGCTTTAAGTTTATTCTCAGGTAATAGCTGAGACACAGCTTCAGATTTTAGCACTGTACACACACACACACCTTAAGGTTAACCTGTCCCCCTTATTGTCAGGCTTGACTTGTTTTTTTCACCTCCCTTTCCTGAAGGGCCATAATCTGAGTCTTCTAGTAGCTTGTTTGCTGACCAGATGTATTCAGTTATTTGCAGCTCCTTTGTGCCCATCAGCTAGGTAATTTGCATTTACACACAGAGGCTTACTAGCTTGCTTTTGGATCCAAAGCTGTTAGCAGCTCAGACACTGTCTTAAAAGGGAAGCGTTTTACTTCCACCAGAATTCTGATTACTTTCCACTTTCATCTCCTGCTCCAAAACACAGCGATCTGAAAAAGAAAGCACAACCTATTGTGGCTCCTTTGGAGCCCTATTAGGATTTTAATGAAGTACCATGTTTTATTTGCATTTCTTTTACTCCTTTTCCAATATACACTGCACATGTCCTGGGAAAATGCAAATTCCTTCCATATAGTTTAACCTCCATAACATCATATTAGCCAAATTAATTTTACACAAGGTATAACTGCCTCCCCCATGCCTACAGAGTTTTCATGCAGAACCCACCAAAGCAACAATCTAATCCCCCAGAGCCATCCCAAGGCTCAGTGTTCCCATCATTCCTCCCCTTTTCCTTTTCTTTTACCTGTGCACACACACACAAAATTCTGTTTTGCCTAACATCCCTTGCACTGTGATTACTCTTTTTTACACAACTGTACCCCGATTACACTTCCATCTTGTACAACTAGACACAACTAGGGGCAGCCAAGTTAAGTTCCAAAAGAAACCTCTTCCATCCTTTAGTGATTTTGATTACATTACCCAATAGTCAAATAATTTTGCTCAGATTCTCTCTCTGCCTGCTGCCTGCAGCAGTCCCTTATAGACCATTTCTGTGGGAAAAGGGCCCATTTTCCCCTCAGAATAGCTGTAAAGGCTTCTGGGGACAGAAGCGTAGTGGTGATAGTAGCCACTCTACCTGACCCCCTTGGAAAATTTAATGACCAAGCTTCCATCCAATGTGACTGCACAGAGTTGCACATACAGTTACATTTATATACCTGGGTTTTATCATTAAACAAAAACTTCCTTCTTGACATCTCACATAAGTATCCAAAGTACCCTCCATTAAAACTTCAGAAAAACAAAAGAGTGTGGAAAGGCAGGTTGCACTTTGAAACTTTTATTTTTTTTTTCCTTCACTCCCCCAGGACCAAGTCTCAGATCCAGTCTCTAAAGGTGGTCTGTTAACTCTGCTTTTGACCTTAAACCCTTTTGTGCCAAATCATCTTTCACTATCCCTAACTAATTTACAACCC